TGCCCCCTGCATTCATCCCTGCCTATGGCAGGGGGTCAGGCTAGATGATCTGTTCAGGTCCCTCCTGACCCTAGCTACTATGAAACTATAATACCCATTAACATCTCCTGGGAGATTGGCAAATTAGGTTCAAATCCCCAGAGAAGGGGATTGAATCTGGGCATGGGCTCCAACTATTAGAAGTAAGAGGGGCAGCATTGCCTGCCACTCCAGTAATTTTGTAAATCTACTCCTTCATTTCCTTGACTTGCAATACAAGTGCTAGCAACTTGGTGCTTTAAAATTGCCAAAATTGTTTCAAAGTTTCCAAAATGTTTTAGTGCTTCCATTTTGGCTGAAACTATTTGGTGAATTCAACCAGAATTAATTATTTACTGAAACACCTCTCCAGCTCCACCCACAATCTCATTTCCTCATACTATTGGGGAGGGCAGGAATGTGCTCAATAGGACATTTCTGTTAAAACTTAGTTGTGGGTACCAAGAATGACAGGGATATGACCAACCCCTAAACATTACAGCTGAATACTTTATCAAAGGCTCCAAGAGAATGAGTCTTGCTTAGCTTTTCAGTGCAGCTCCACATAATCTATTGGGCTGCTATACTAGGCTGAGTGGTGTAATCATTCTTCATTAGTGTTCTAAAAACTGCTCTTGAGATTGGATGAGCTAGCCGGGAATTACAGGAAAATGAAAGAGCCCAAACCTAAAAGCCTCCCCTCAAATAAAGAAAAAATCCTTTGCCCAAAGAATTCCCCATTGTTTCTCTACTAGACTTGAAGTGGAGCATGAAACCATAACAATAAAACTCAAATTCTTCCCTTCATAAACTAAGGTACAAGATTGAGAGTGGGGGCAGTAAGGAGGTGCAGGAGAAGGGGGAAAATAGACACACACACAAAAAAATTAAAGTATTAACCAAAGAAAGAATCAACATACCTTCTGCTTGGTGTTTTGCTTCAAGCTGATACAGGACTGACTTCTGGACTATGAAAGAAAGAAAAAGAAGACATGAAGACTAATTCAGTTTAGGCTAAAATACTTCAGAAAAACCTTGATTACAGTCAGGTTAAAGTTTCCCTGAAAGCATGGAATGCAACAGCTCACTTCGTTTTCAACAGGTGCTGCTGAATGCTGATCACACTGCAAAATCCAGCCAAACACTCCATCTGGCAGTCATTTATCCCTTTGGGATAAAACCAGGGGTAGCACACATGGGTGTACAAAGTCCAAAGACAACTTAAAAACTGTGCGCCGACTACATGATAGCCCAAAAGCAGCGGAAACCCCACACAAGGGGATTCTGTATCCCTGCTTCCCCATCTCAAGGACAAGAGTTTCTAAAGATGACTGTACAAAGACATGTAAGGAACCTAGATAGAAGATGTTTAGTTTAAGGGGTCCATACACAGCCCACATTAACCTAGCCAAAACCCTAAATGAGTGAAAAAGGAGTAAGCCACTTCTTTGCCTTTCTCCTCACCATGTCTTACAATATTGGCCGCATCCCTGCTACCTGGATAGCCTACTTAGGTGAGGTCATTGGTTGCATGTCATCCCTCAGCTTCAGCACCAGTGAACAGATTAAAGCCATTTCAAATATTCTTTGCTCTTTCCCAGAACTGGTCCCTGTAACACCGGGTAGTGTTTTTTTCTGCCTAAGGACTATGTGATCAGGCTTTAATATACGTTGTTCTCTTTCCTAGATCTCCCCTCTCATTGCTGTACTTCATTTAAAACAGAGACCTACGGACAGTAAGGTCACCAGCTCTCTCATGCTGTGACTGGGGGCACCAGACAGCGGCATCAGACGCTCAGATGCTAATCATGGCAGGTACCACACAGAAGCTTCAAAAGATTTTTCAGATGGTTGATGCTATGCTCAGATTTTAATCTACCTCTTCTAAGAGAAGTGATAAGGAACAGAGCACTGGGGTCTGACAATAAAGCCCGAGTCCTTATTTGCATCCATTTTTAAAAAGTACAAGGAAAAGCACCATGGCCCAAACCAGCATCTCAGATTTATCATGAGCAACTTCAACAATATCACTCACAAATCAGGATTTGGCCCTTGGTGCCTTGACTCTGTAGAGCTGTTTGCTCTTCTGCGTGCACACTTGATCTCTTCCTGTAGGCAAAATAATTTGCATGTATAAACTCATCAGCCTTCTGTCGGTTTAAAGCCCCAGTACTCAGCTGGTCTTTTATCCTTTAAGAGACTACCACATTAACTGGAATATATTTTAGAGTTTGTTGTAAAGAGTTTTACAACTATGGCAAACATGGTTGAAAAAAATGATAGTCCAATAAACAAATAAGGATTCTAGTATCACACTCTTCCCCTTTTTTATTAACCTCAAGGTGTCTATGCCTCATACATGCTGTGTCTTCCTACCAAAAGGACAGTTCCAAGCATGACTGGCATAATGAGCATTGTATCCTGTTCTAGATATATTGTTTACACTTGTTGCTACTCCCATAGGGCCTCCTGTAAAAAGAAAGCTTTTGCAGACTAGTGAATCAACCTTTAATAGCAAGCTATAATAAAATATATAGAACTAAAGAAGGATTCAGAGCATGGATGTTCTTAAACTACACTACTGTCATACGATTGCATTCTGCCCTAGGGACATGCCTACAACTCCCAATACTACATGCAACCCAAGAGAGAATTTGACTTTATTGACATTTTCTGCAGTTGGCTATTTCACAGCAGGTGTTACCCTATCACCACAGGATTAAGCAAGAAAGTAAACTATGGATGCTATGTGTAAATGCTTGGGGGCAGAAATAAATATTTTTCTTTTTACTTATTCTAAAACATAGAGCAGAAGTATATATTTTTCTTTTTACTTATTCTAAAACATATTATGCAGGCATCATTCTTCACTTCAATGCTTTATAAAATCACTTGCAAGAGCATCCTCTTCTTGTGTTCTTTTGGATCAAGCAGTGAGTGTATTGATCGGCTGAGACAACTGGAAGAAATATAGAAGATTCAGGGGCAGAGCCAGAAGGACTGCAGTGGCACGGCTACACCTCCTGTCGGCCTGGACCACACCTTGGGAGCTTCTGGGGACTTTAACAAAGTCCTCAAAGCAAATGAGAATCCCACTCTTCCCTCCATGCTCAGAGTCACATCCTTTCCCCTGCCCTGCCCGCCACTGCTGCTTTCCCTAGTGTCCTGGAGTGGATGTGGGGGGAGGTACTTCAAATCTGTTCCCACCTGCTGCAGGAGGGCTACATGGGGGCTGGGCTCATCTGGGACAGCAACAGTGGCAGTGGCAATAGGCAGAGGAAGATTATCCTTCCCTGGACCTGCTCCCGGGTGGGAATGGCCAGGTGGGGGAACCCACACCACTCACCACTGTCCCTGTGCCAGCTGAGCCCAGCCCTCATTCAGCCCAGCTCAAAACAGGCAGGAGAGGCTCCGAAGCTTCCCCTGCTCGGGACAGTACAGAAAGCAGCAGCAGTGAGTGGGTGAAGGTGTAAGAGGACGGGAGAGGATGCAACTCTGAAAATGGGATGGAAAGTAGGGGAGTCTTAATTGCTCTGTGGACTTTAAAAAGTCCCTGAAGGCTCCCACAGCACAGTCTGCTTGCAGCAGTGGGTGGGAGATGGGGAGGAGGCTGGGATCAAGGATGCAGCCACCTCTACTGTGCAGTCCTGGAACAGGGGTGGGCAAGACAACACTATCACAACCATTTTTTCAGGAATAGTAGCACATACCATGTTCCAAAGACAGAACTCCAACCCCAGAAACCGATTCTAGTTAAGACTAGGGTTGGCAAGCCAGTCAATTGGACCAGTTAAATATTGTCCATTGACTGCCCATTTTTTGACTGGTCAGAGATTATAGGAATTTTACCCTCCCCCCCCCCAAAAAAAAAAAAACTACAATTGCAATTTTACCCTCCCACCCCCCAAAAAAAAAAAAACTACAATTTTTTTGTAGTTTTTTGACAACAAAAAAAAAAATTGATTTTTTTCATATTTCTTAATGGAAAGTTTGTGTTTTTCTGTGTGTTATTTGGACTTGTTGGCAATTTTGGCCAATATTTGACTGGTCAAATACTTAACTCTAGTTTTAAAAGATTCAGACAGACACACAGCTAACGCTTGCTTTTTTCATAAGTAGCTATTACACAAGCTAGGAATAGGCCATTTCTTCCAAAAAGACCAGCTTTTATAAGCAAGAAAAAAAAAAAACTCATAAGGCTATGTGTAAGAGCACTGCTCCTGTTATAGTATTATTAGAGCCAATCAGTAGCAAAAATAGCACCTATGAGGCTCCAAACCTTGAATACTTTGAACATGGGATTAAGTTTCCCAAGAAACTATTTACTGGCTCTAGCCCAATTAAGCATAGAAAATTGCCTCAGGAACCTAATAATAGTTGTGACTTACTTGTTGTGTGACTTTGGTCATGTAAACCCCCAGCCTCTATTTCCTCATCTGTGAAATAAAATAGTTTTTATGTACCAATCCAGCCACAAAATACACGTAAAGTGATATATAGCATAATGCTGTAGCTTTAAACTTCTGCAGACTCAAGGCATATAATTAGATTCGAGGCAACCTTCAGAAAATGCCAGCTCTTAGCTTTCAGTTGTTTTTTTGACTACGGAAATATAATAAAGCAATTCTTCTGTTGCAAAGAGCTGAGAAAGACCACAACAGGTCAGGATTCCTATCTGAAATCTCTGGGTTTATCTTGTGAACCATGTATAGGTGTTTGCACACCTAATATTCGGAGAAGCCCTTAAAAGGGATCTTGCAGCACCCCAGGGTGCTGCTGCACCCTGACTGAGAATCACTGCCATAAGCATAGAAATATTAAATCCCATGACAGATGAGATAGCACTCACTGGGTGGTCAACACATTCATTAAAGTGCCATAGCTGCTGCATATTAATTTTAGTACTTGGATAACCAAGTATTAAAATCAATGCATAGTAACACACTACTGCACAGTAGCTACTACCCAGATTTTTTCTGATGCCAACTGCACAGTAGCCTAATACTACTGCACAGTAGCATGTTAGCACAGGTTTTGCCCAACACGCTACTGCACAGTGTTATCCAGCTATTGTGCAGTTAACCTCTCATGTAGAAACACCCACTACCCCTTTCGCACAGCCAGGGAGAAGAGCGAGCTAACAATTCATTACAAAAAATAATGCTTAAAAAAAAAAAAAAAAGAACGTTTGCTCAGTTCCCTGGTTTTTAAATCAGCTTCTCCTGTAACATCAGAAAATGATGGCAGGCAGGACTGTTCTACAAGTAACCTATGCCATCACAGCTTCTTTCTTTGACCAGGGTTTTCATTTGAGTACATGGAAGGCTGTAGAAACCTCTTACTGCTCATTAATATTCAATCCTCAACTCTAAAAAGAGAAACTTGCCTGTTCTGCAAGCCTTACAATCATGAATAAATAATAGACCTCTAAGAGTCTATCCCTCTAATAAAAGTCAAGGGCAGCATGTCACTTCGGCGCATCAGTTACTAGGTTATATCCATTTAAACAAAATATGATAACTCTATGAAATAGAGATCTATTAAAAATAACCTGAACATTCATAAAAAATGTAAGTGTTAAATATACATGTTTAATAACGTACACTGGTTCATACAGTTCATCCCTACAGACAGGAAGGAAAGTCATGCAGACATCTAAATAGTTTAGTTTCACTAGCAAATAAATTCCTAGTGAATTGAACTGCCAATATCTTTGTCAAACAACTCTCTCTCTCACGTCACTTGTTGAATCATGCAACCTCTTATTCCTATAAATAACTTGTAGTAAAAGGGTGGGAGGTACTGTTGGTACAGTATAATTTAAAGATTTATAATTTGGCAGTGAATGTTGAAGTCTAAGATAGGAGACTCATGTACTCTGGATTCAAACACATTTATGGATAATTAATGTCCTGGAGATGAATGCTTAGAATTGTCTGAAAACACAAAATCTGCCTGGCAAATTGCC